GGGAATCAAAATGTGACCTCCTGGTTCATAGGTCAATGCTTAGCCACTGAGCCACACCAGCCAGGTGAACATGGGACATTTTCTAGGACAGATCACATATTACGGCAGAGATCAATCACAGGAAAAAACCCAAAACCACAACAGAAAAACACAGAGACATGAAAGCTAAATTACATGCTATTAAACAATGAATGGGTCAACAGTGAGATCAAGGAAGAAAGCAAAAGATACCTTGTAACAAATGAAAATGAGAACACAACAACCCAAAATCTATGAGACACAGTGAAAGCAGTCCTAAGAGGGAAATTCATAGCATTACAGGACTACCTGAAAAAACAAGAAAAATCTCAAATAAACAATCTAACTTTATACTTAGAGGAACTGGAAAAAGAAAAATAATTAAAGCCCAAAGTGAAATTTAATAAGAGCTATAGTAGTAATAGGTACATACTAGAAAAAGGAGTTTGCCAAATGTAAAGGAAGGAATAAAACAGTATGGTTTATAGTAGCTAAAGATGGGGAGGAGTGGATGCCACAAGAGGATAATGCCAGAAAGTTAGGCTTATGGCCAGTCCAGAATAGCCATGGCTTAGAAATTGAGACTTCTGACCAGCGTGGCTCAACGGTTGAGCATCAACCTATGAACCAGTTCATTGTTCAATTCCCCCAGGTTGCAGGCTCGATCTCCAGGGTGGGAAATGCAGGAGGTAGCCAATCAATGTTTCTCTCTTATCACTGATGTTTCTATCTCTCTTTCTCCCTCTCCCTTCCTCTCTGAAATCAATAAAAATATTTTTTAAAATAAAGAAATAAAAGAGAAGATGTAACAACTGACTCCACAAAATAAAAGGGATTTAAGAAAACATTATAAACAACTATATACCAACCAATTGGACAATCTGGACATAATGGATCAATTCTTAGAAACATACAATACAATCTTTCAAAACTGAATCAGGACAAATCAGAGAATCTGAATAGACAGATTACAACTAGTGAAACTGAAGTAGTAATAAAAAATTCCCAGATCAGACAGCTTCACAGGTAAATTTTACCAAACATTTAAAGAACTAACATCTATCCTTCTCAAACTATTCTAAAAAATTCAAGAGGAAGGAAGACTCCAGAGTTCACTTTATGAGGTCAGAATTACCCCAATTGCAAAACCAGATTGAGACACTACAAAGAAAGAAAATTATAGACCAATATCCATGATGAACATAGATGCTCAAATCCTCAACAAAATATTAGCAAACCAGATCCAGGAATACATTAAAAGGTCATATAACATGACCAAGTGGGATTTATTCTGGGGATGTAAGGTTGGTAAATATCTGCAAATCAATAAATATGAAACACCACATAAACAAAATGAAGAAC